GTTGGGTCAAAGAGTACATAAATTTTTAAGGCTCGTACTGTTAAGGTAATCAACCTTCCTATAGCAGGGTTAGAAATTTTCCACTTTCTTAGTTTTGCCAACCTGATTTTATTTTCTTTTATTTATTTTTTTAGAAATTCTTTGCTAACTTAATGGAAGAAAATGTTATGTAGTTGCCTTAATTTGCATTTATTTGATTATTAGTGTGATTTGGACTTTTAAAAATATGTTATTGCTTAATTGTATTCCTTCCAGAATTAACTCCTGATGTTCCTTGCTAGCTTTTAATTTAGGTATTTTTCTTTTCTTCCTGAATTTGTAAGACAGATAACATTCACCTCTTTATCCACAATGCACATATAACATAGTGGTTGAAAAATAGTAGGCATAAAATAAACTTCTACTGAACAAATGAATGAATTTTTTATATGTAAGATCATATGTCATATAACAAATATGTTGTTTGTCTTTTTTCCTTAATGACTGCCACTTTGATATGCAAAAATTTTCTTTTTATGTAATCACATATTTATGTTTGATTGTTTCTGTCCGAGATTGGCAAGGCTCAAGTTTATAAAAACTTTTTGAAATGTCTACATTTTTAATGAAAATTATTTAATTCAAGTATTTCAGTTTATGATATGAAATTAGATATCTAACTTTTTTTCAATGCTTCACTAATTGGCCCAACACTATTTGTTAAACTGTCTTTTCCACATGGACCTGAGGTGGTTCCTCACGTATACAGATACTTGTGTATTTAAGCTATTCGTGTGTACAAAAACTATTTTTAAGTGTTTTCTTTCATTACATGACATTTCTGTATGTTTCTACAAAGCCCCATATTCTGTTAATTACTAAACTTGAAATAGTTTTTAATGTCGGGTAGGCCAAGTCCCTCTCATTTTTCAAAACGAGGGGTCCTATTTTAGCACCTTTACTTTTCCAGAACTTTTGTAAAGTTCCCCCAAACATTTTGTTGGTACTTTGATTGGCATCATGTTAAATGTATTCATTAATTGACATCTTTACAATATTAAGTCTTCCCACCTCTCCGCCAGCTGGAAGTATTTTGTCCTTCCTCTGAACTCCCTTTAGCACTTTATACCTTTTTAAAAATCACTTTCTAAACTATACCCACCCAATTTTTCAAACCTGAAACCCGAGAGTCTTTCCCTCCCCTCTTTTCCCCAACCTTCACCCCATCCAATCAATCATCAGGTCCCGTCAGTGCTACCTCCTAAATTTCAGCCACTTCTGCCTGTCCCCACTGCCAGCACTCTAGTCCAAGCTACCATCATTTCTGGCCGGGGCCACCACACTGGCCCCTAACTGACCTCCCCGAATCTGCCCTGGCTTCCAAGCCATCCTCTTACACTGCAGCCAGAATGATCTTTTAAAAGGCAAATCTGATCATGGCATTCCCCAGCTTTAAAATACTCCAGTGGCTCCCATGGCACCTGGGGTGGAGCCAAAAGAGCAGCCCCGACCCTCTCTTCCAGCTTGAACCTGGCCTCTCTTTGACTCATTCTTAGTGGCCGTCAAATGTATCCCATGTTCTTTCCCACTGCAGGACCTTTACACATACTGTTTTCTGTTTTAGGACTGTTCTCAGTCTTCCCAATCATCTTTAAGAAGATTCCCTTTCACTAGCATATATCCACAGTATCCTATACAACTTTTAATCCTCATCACATTTGTAATTCCTTATTCAAGTCAGTCTCCATGATGATAACACTAATAGTGATCATAAGAATATTAATGATACCTTTTGAATAATAAGACATAATTGCTCTCTATCCCAAGTACTTTACATACAGAAGTGTTCTAGATCTGACTTGTACCAGCTCATGAGAGCACATTGTTAAATTTTCAGGAATTTTGCGAGGGGGTTGATGTCATATTGGTAGCTCAAAATCAGCCATGGTGACAATATTTGCACCATGGAAATCAGCAAATCCTACAAACCAATGCTTCCCTCAACCTCACCTTTTCCCCAGAGAGCCAGCTCTTAAAGCTTTACCAGCACGCCACTGTTTCCGTGCACTGTATGATTTAGTCCTCACCATTGCTCTGTAAGGTAAGGTAGCCCATTGAATAGATGGAGAAATAAAAAGGTTAAGCCACTTATGCAAGATTTAAGAACTGTCAGGAGGCAAGCCAAGCACTGCGTCCAGGCGGTGTGACACTAGAGCATGAGCG